AACAATTGCACAAATTGTTGAGAACATCTGCGTGTGAGGCATTTTAAAACAAATATTGGTGATGCAGCTGTCACGTGGTAGACTCTATTTTAAGGTACTTAGGAAATGAGGCTAAACAAAACCAACAGAAAGCTTTTCCGATTCTGTTGGAGGAGAGACACATCATAAACAAACAAGTATAGTAGATTGTTGTTGTTGTTGGGTGCAGCTTTGCGATCTCTGACTGATGGTGATAAGAATTACTGCCTGATCCCACTATCCTTACAATCTCTGCCATCGTTACTATCCATTTGTACTCATTGTATATCCATTGTGTTGAGGCGCTTCATCTTCACGGCTCATCTCTGCTTTTCCCAGCATCATGTCTTTATCCTGGGACTGGCTCCTCCTGCCAACACAGTATGTGAGATGAAGTTTCCCATCTTCATCTGTAAGGAGCATTCAGTCTCCACTTCCTCTGAGTTAGATTTAGTTCTTCTTTTGACATTCATGGTAACTTCAGTATCCTTCATCAACTTCAGTCATGATTCAGCAAAGAACACGTGTAGAAGGTAATTGTTGTTGTTGATGTTCGCCGTCGAGTCAGAACTGACCCATTGCTGACCCTTCAGCGAGGTTTCAGAGGCAGTTAATCATATGAAAGGAAATTGCCCATCCATCTCCCACAGAGCATCTGGTAGATTAGAACGGTGTGCTTTAGGGTTTGCAGTGCAGCTTCTTACCACTAGGCTAGCCTTAGATAATTAATTGCGTGTGCAAAAAGAAAGCAGTGATGGGAGGTGAGGAAGTTTGGGTTGAGAAATTGTGGTAGATAGAATGGTGACTAAGATGGTTCAGCCCTCACAGGATGGCAGCTTAGTGATTGATAACTGCTTTTTAAAAAATCATGGTCAAAAATTCAGAGTGGAATATTTTCCAAGTAAAGAATCTTTTTTTAAAAAATAATTTTAATGAGCATTTACAGAGATTTTGGATTTCCATTCATTCATTGCTGCACTCCTCTACCCCCCCCCCCAGTTCGCTCCTCTCTTTCAAAAGTAAAAGAAACACTCCTTTCCTGGTATACAATCCCCCCGCACCCCTCCCACTGCCCCAAGTACATTCCACTAGGTAAAGAATCTTTACATGTGTAATTCCATGACATGTTCATCATGTTGTGCTGCTATCACCATTATTTTTCCCACGTGGTTTAACCAAAAGCTTAATGCCCTTAAACAATGGCGTCCTTTTTCCTTCTCCTCCTGCCTGTGATAAAACCACTTCACACTCTCTATCTTGGTCTGCTTCATTTATGAGAGATCATAATTCAAAGGAAATCCTGTTTTGACTTCTTTTTATCCACATAATGTTTCCAGTACTCATCTATGTTATAACATATATTAGGAAAATATTTCTCTTTTTGACTGAGTTATGTTTCATTTCATCTATTCACCACATTTTATTTATCCACTCCTTGGTTGATATTAGTTTCTCCTTCTGGCTATTGGGAGTAATTTGGCAATGAATGGCTGGTGTGTAGGTAACTGTGTACAGATAATGGCTTTTTGATGAGAACTTCACTAGGAGATTAGGGACCCCTGAGCATCTATCTATTACATCCTAATTTACTGCAACAGGGGGCATGGTCCCCAGCTCATCAAGGAGGAAATGAAAGCTTTAAGTTACATGAATTGCATAGATGAACATAGTTGGTGTGACTCATATCTTACTGCAAAGCGTGGCATTATTTTATCTCAGTGTTGAAACATTTGTTTTTGTAGAAACGAATAAAATTTTTAGTGCTAGGGCGGCCTTATTTTGTGGTTCAGTGGGTTGTGCTGCATCTTGACTGCCTTACACAGCCTGTCACCATAAGGCTCCCTTCTGTCCTCATGCTTGTTCTATATAAAGGGCCTCTCGGTTGTACACTGTGGTCACATCAGGGAGAGGAGCCACCTGGTTGCTGAATTCCACACAGTGGGACATGCTTGTGTTAAAGAGTGAACTGTATTCATGCCAACAAGCCATTTACTACTTGAATTCCTGGCATTATGTCTCAGTGATAGGGCACTAATTTGGCCTGTGTACTGTTATATTCAAGAGTGTGCTATAAATGCACATATTTTGAAGGGCATGTGATATGAGTGAACAGATTTAATGCCAAGGTCATGGGTTATAAGGAGTGTTAGTCACTGAATAGACTGTATCTTTTCTGTGATTTCTTTATCATGATTAAATTAATAAAGCAAATGACTATGTTGGGTTGGAAACCTCCTTAGGGAGCTGTGGAAGTCAAGCTAGAGGCTCAGGAGGACATTTATTCTTTCTGCCTTGAGTATGCCTGTGGTAAAAGGGAAATAACTTGCATTACATATACATGTCATGATTTCCCTCCCGGGACATTCTTAGTACTTGACACTGATCTCTCTCAATATCTATACTGTCTGTCTCCCCTGCTCACCTCCACCCAGTTGGTTCTGGTTCATACTAACCCTGTAGAAAGATAGAACTGCCCTAGAGGGAATCATTATGGAAACTGAACAGCTTAATATTTCTTCTGTGGAGCACTTGGGAATTTGAACCACTGATTGAGATGGATGGGCAGTCTCCTCCTGTGCGATTAACTGCCCTGAAAACCCACTGGAGAGTCAGCTATGGGTCAGTTCTGACTCAGTGGTACAGAATAACTACACCAATCATCTTTTTACTAGCAGTTGAATACTTTAACCACAGTGTCACAGAGTGTACTTACATTCCTTCTCAATTTATTAATTGATAGACAGAAAGTTCTTTGGCTAATTAAGAGTGATGCATATATACTGGGTCCTAATTTATAAAGGCTACACACAGTGTTTTTTTGTTACTTTTAATTTCTAATTTCTAATGATTCTTCTTCATTTACTACTTCCAAAATGAAATGCTATTGATTCTTAGAAGTTTGATTTCTTTTTACTCAATATTATGGTTTGGACACGTGTGTTATGATTATTCTGTGTTTTACTCTTTTGGAATACAGCACAAATTCTGAAGAGTAGACATATTCTTTTAAAAAAGTATAATAAGAGTGCAATTCAAAGATGTTTTAGAAAGTGAATACTTTGTGTAACCAACTTCAAAATAAAAATATGGTTAATTATTGACACTATTAAAACCCTCTCACTCTTACAGCTCCCATCATTCTGTGTTACTGTTTTCATTATTTTAGCAGCATATCTGTTGTGATTGTGGAGCTCTGATGGTTTAGTTGATAAGGAGTTGTACCAAAGAGTTGTGCCAGTCCAAAGGCAGGTGGTTCTAATCCACCCCCTGCTCTGTGGGAGAATGGTGGGCAGTCACCTCCTGTGCGATATACTGTGTCTGAAAACACACTTGGAAGGTCAACTTTGGGTGGGTTTTGACTCAACAGTACACAACAACAGCATTTATAGAGCTCTGGTGACACATGGCAGATAGACACAAGGCCAGCAGTTCAAAACCACCAGCAGCTCTGTGGGTGAAAAACAAATCTTGCAAGTCTACTCATATTACTAGTTCAACCTTGGAATCCGCAAGTGGTCCTGCTCTGCTGTGTGTTGGAATCAACTTGGCACTTTAAGGCATCTATTCAATTGAATAGCTGCTAGCAGACAGATTATTTAAGTGATTGTGCCCTCAACAAGATGGCCTGACAGAGTGACTGTGACAATGGGCTTGAACTGTGCTGCAGTGCTCATTGGAAATCAAGCCCTTCAAGGTCACCACGCACTCTGCAGGTGAAATGTGAGGCAGTCTCCTTCTGTTAGGATTTACATCCTTGCAAACCTGATGCAGAGTCATCATAAGTTGGAAGTTCTTGGTGATAGTGAGTTTGATTTTATGCTTTTTTTTTAAGGGGGTTAGGAGACACATGTTTTTAAGTTCATTTTGGTTCACGTGTGTTCCATGAACCATCCTATTCATTCTTTAAAACCCAAGTTAAATATTTTTTTCCCATGTGCAGGGTGTGCATGCATACTTCTCTCTCTTGCCCCTGTATCTGTCTATCTTATCTGTACACACACACACACACACACACACACGTAATGTTTATAATACATAACAAGGATGTGTGCTGTATTTCACAAAACCTAATAGAATGAGAAATAGATATTCCCTTGTATAGACACGAAGACTGGGAAACCACCCTGAGTTCATCTCATTTGGGTTTTTCAGTCTCTGAAGTTGCACTAATGGCTATTTGAGGCTTTTTAAAGGTGGAAAGTAGATTGGTTCAGGGTGACCATTCTTTCATAAAGAGCTTAGGTGGGTTTGAACTCACCAGCTGCTCTGGGGGAGAAAGGTGAGGGAGTCTGCTTCAACAAAGATTTCTAAACCTTGGAAACACTGTGGGGACAGTTCTGCTGTGTCCTGAACCAACTCAATGGCTGTGAGTATTCAGCCTTTGTTAGGTAGCTTACGCTGTATCTCTTGAACATTAAGATGACATCTGTCTCCTCTTAGTTTCTTCCATACATATCTTGTCCTTTTACAGATCAGCAGAACACCATGATTCTTGTAATAGAGTAAAATATCTTTAGGCAGAGTTTCATGACTATTTTATAAATTGTTCTCGTCAGCATCTGCAGGACTCTTGGTCTCAGAATAGTTTGCTCTGGGGACTTGGATAACAGAGAAGAAAACACAGTGCAAAGCTTTTTCCTTTCTTTGTTCTGTATTTTTTTCTGCTGTGACTACACTTAAATTTTTTAAAAAGTTTGATTCAATTGAAACTTCAAAAAGAAAAAAATTTATCCAGGTTATAAAGAATAAAATAATGTTACAATATCATACCTACTTTTTATAGAAAATTGACTGATCTATTTAATCTAATCCATTAACAGTGGAAATTTCTTCAGATAATATCTAGACTGAGGTATCTGAACTTCTGGGCAATATTAATATCCACAGAGCCTTAGGATAAAAATTGGGTTCTTGTTTTGTTTATCATCAATAACTTAAGATTTATGGATATTAGTTAATAGTTTATTTTGTTTTCTCTACAGACAAGAAGAGACTGATAGAAGAGTGAAAAATGTAAGATATACTTTCTTTAATAGAACATTATTAATTGACTTTCATTTTACATATTCTGTAATAGAGAAATGGTTTAAAGAAACTTGATACATTCTACATCTCATCTAGAATTATTTTTTTGCTAGAAACCAACCAGTCACAAATGTTGTTGTTAGGTGTCATTGAGTTGGCTTGAACTTACAGTGAGCCATGGCCAACAGAATGAAACACCACGCAGTCCCGAGCCATCCTCCAGCCACTGTGTTAGTCCTTCTTATTGACGATGTCCCTCTAGTTTTCACACTTTCCCAAACATGTTGCCTTTTCCCATGAACTACTCCCTTCTGATAACCATAACCAAACCAAGAGTTCAACTCCCACTCGTCTCACTTCTAAGGAGCATTCTCACTTTATCTCAGTTATGTTGTCGTTGTTGTGCTGTAGAGTCGCCTGTGACTCATAGCAACTCTATGCACAGCAGCCCTCTCTGACCCCTGCTCTACCATGAGCGACGACACCAATCCCGTCACCTCAGTCACTGAGTCAATCCATCTCATCCAGGGTCTTCCTCTCCTGCACTGTCCCTACACCTTGTCAAGCATGGGGTCCCCCTCTGAAAAGTAGTCACTCCTGGTAACATGCCTCAGATCTGTCAGACGGAGCTTCAGTATCCTTGTCTCCAAGGAGCAGCTTCGTTTCACCCTCTCCAGGACGGGCCTGCTTGTCATCTCAGTTATAGACTTAAATGACGTCGTCATTGCTGTTGCTTTTAGATGCCACTGAGCCAGCTTCAGCCCCTAGTGGTTTTGTGTATAGTGAAACAAAGCCCTGTCTGATCCTGCACCACCCGCACTGATCTGCTCTACTGTAGCTTGTTGTTGCAGCTACTACTCTCTTACTCCATCTCGTTGCCGATTTCCCCCTTTTTGCTGAACCTCTACTTTACCAAACATGTTTTGTCCCGTGATTAACTCCTTCTGATAATATGGCCAAAGTATGCTTGGGTAACCTGTCTTTGATACTACCTTTAATATTCTACATAGAGCAGAATTTTTGGAAAAAGTGATAAAATTTAATATTATTTTTAGATAAGCAGAGAATTGTTTATTTAAAGGCAGGTGGTTGGAGTCCACCAAATGCTCCATGGGAGAAAGATAGCCAGTCTCCTCCTTGAGGTTTTCACCCTGAATATCTCCTGGAGGGTCACTTAGTTCTAACTGGAGGACACATAACAACAACAGTGAGTGAAGAATATGAATGCCTTTTGGCTTCTGGACTTTGGATTTGAGAATTTGCTTAGACAGAGTTCTTGGAAGAATGTTTTTAGTATGTCTTCTCTTTTCTGTAAATTAGAAAGTCTTGCAATAGACTCAACATGGGAGGTTGTTTAGTTGGGATACATACTTGCCTTTGTGGTTGCAATGAAAAGACTGATTTTTTTCCTTTCTTGGTTTTCTTTTTAAAGGTGTTGATAACACTGTATTGGCTGGGCAGAAAAGCACAAAGCAATCCCTACTATAGTGGACCCTATCTTAATTTGAAGGCGTTTGAGACTTTTTTAGGACAAGCTCTGACTAAGGTAAAGAAAATAGCTATTTTCCTTAAATATTATAAATGGATTTTAAAATACTATCCTGTTCTCTTTTCTCCTCCTCTTCCTTCCCTTCTCCTCTGCAACAAATACCTCAGCTCTGGGTGTCTTTACTCCACTAAGAATCGGGCTGGGTAGAGAGGATAGCTACTCATTTATTATTGTATATGTCAATATACATGTAGCATATACAGTATGTCACTCACCAAGGAGTGAGTGAGTCTATTTCAGAACAATTTCTTGGGCATAGAAATCTGTTACTTAATTTTAGGTAACTTGATGGGAACTATAGAACACTAGTAGAATAAGCATAATGTATTAAGCATTGACTATTAGTCAGAAGGCCACTACTTTGAATCTACTAGCTGCTCAGTGGGAGAAAAATGAGGCAATATGTTTCTCTGAAGATTTAGAGCCTTGGAACCTTTCAGAACAATTCCCCTCTAGCTTATAGTCACTATAAGTCAGAATTGATTTGATGGCAAGGGATTTGGACTTTAATGACATATTTATTTGATTCTTTTCTTAGGCATTTTATGAAATACATAATTTCATTATTTCCGTACTCATGAAACTAGCTTATTGTAGACAGGAGCTTTCAAGCCATTAAATGAGTGGCAATGACTCGTTTTCTTCATCTTAAAGTGCTTTTAATGTAGTGACTGTATCTCTGATGCTTGCATTCTAGTAACTCCATCATGTATCTTCTGCTTTCTCTACGGTAGTAAGTGCTTCTAGTGAATCTTGATAAGGTTGTAAAGTTAGAATCTTCTGATTTACACGTGTCACATCCTTAACATCAATACGACAGCTGTGAGGAAAGCTGCGTGTCAGAATGGACAGTGCTTCTGCAAAAACTTTGTTTGTAAGAGATCTAGATGGGAAAGCTAACTTCTCAATGGGGCGTTTATCTGAGGTAGCGTGGGTAGGGGCTCAGAAGAAAATAAGCAGTCAAGTGATTTGTCACCATTACATTAATGGTATTTGCCTTTGAGCTTTTTTTGGTAATGATTAAATACCAATAAGATATTCAGCATTGATTCTTAGCTCATTGTATAAAAATGCTAATTACCATGATTAGGGCATGTATATTTTAGACAAGAATAAAAAATTGTCACCTTACCTTGATTCTACTCTGATCTTTCATAGTTTCACCTAAGTCCATTCTGGCACACATACTATAGAGAGGTGAGATTATAAGAGTCTTGAAGGTCCAGATTTTTTTTCAGTCGTAAGAAATTTGTTGTTGTTATGTACTTTGGACTTGAATATGACTTATAATGACCCTATAAACAACAGATCTGAACCCTGCTTTATCCTGTGCCATCCTTATTATCTCAGATGTTGTTGCAGTCACTGTGTCAATCCACCTTGTTTCAGGTCTTCCTCTCATTTGATAATTGCCCCCTTTCCTGCCTGGTGTCCACTTCCAAGGAATATCGCCTCCAGCAACATGCTCAGAATATGTGAGATGAAGATTCATCATCCTTGCCTCTAAGGAATACTCTGGCTGCACCTTCTCCAAACCATATCTGCTTGTTTCTTTGGCATCAGCACAAGGGCTCTTCAGTACTCTTTTCCAGAATCACAACTCAAAGGCATCAGTTTTTCTTCTGTTATCCTTAGTCATTGTCCAACTCCCAGACAGATAGCAAGCAACTGAAAAGAGTAGGGCTTGAATTCAAGTGTACCTTAGTCTTCAAACTGACATCATTGTTCCTCAGTACTTTGAAGAGGTCCCTGATAGACTTTCTCAATACAGTACAACTTGATTTCTTGACTGCTGGTGCTGAAGGTGTTGATTATGGATCCACTGTATAAAAAATTATTAAAGTAAGAGGAAATTGTTGACAATTTGAATCTTTTCACCACATATCATGCTGTTGTCCCTTGACCAGCGATGAGGGCTGTTGTTTTCTTGAGATGTAATTTATATTGTTGTTGTTGTTGTTGATTGCCTTTGAGTCAAGCATGACTTATAGCGACTTATGAACAAAAGGCCTTCTGCAGCCCCTCTACAGCTACTGACATTTATCAAAGTTCATAGAATTTCTGGAGGTTTAGGAAATGGATGCCACTCCTGCTTCCAAAATTTATATTGATGGCAGTAAACTTTGATCTTCTATAGCACGTGTTTCAAGTCCTCCTAACATTCAGCAAACCAGGCTGTATCATCTGTGTAACTCAGGTTGTTGATGAGTCTTCCTCCTAGCCTAATGCCACATTTTTCTTCATAGGGTCCAGCTTCTCAAAGTACTGGTTCAGCATGTATATCGAATAGATAAAGAGAAAGGATACAGCCTTAATACATACCTTTCTTGATTGTAAACCAAGCATTTGTTCTGTTTGGACAACAACTTCTTGGTCTAGGCATACATTTTGTATAAACATGATTAAATGTTCTGGGATTCGCATTCTTCTCACTGTTAACCATAGTTTGTTATGATTCACTTAGTCAAATGCCTTTGCGTAGGCAGAAAACAAACATAGACATTTTTCTTGTTCTCTGCTTTTGGCCAGTATCCATGTGACCTCAACAATAGTATCCCTTGTGCCATGGCCTCTTCTAAATCCCCTGTGAACTTCGGGCAGTTTTCTGTCAATGTACAATTCTAGCCATTTCTGGATTATCTTCAGCGATATTTTACTTGTATGTGTTAATAATGATATTGTTTGGTGATTTCCACATCCTGTTTGAAAACCTTTCTTAGATATACAGGAGCAAATACGGATCTTTTCCGGTGAGCTGTCTTCCAAATTTCTTTGGAAGACTGGTGAGCACGTCCAGGGTTGTATCTTTTAGTTGAAGCATGTCAATTGGTATTCCACTGATTCTTGGGGCCTTAATTTTTCCCTTATACAATATCATGTAAGGAGCTAGTGTCACATTTTAATTCCTTATGTCAATTATTCTAGGGAATTTAGTTGTGACATTAATAGGCAATAAGCATTGTGCTCAGTGCTAGGAAAACCCACATACAAGTCAAGAATTCGTCATCATGGAGTCTAGTCTGAAGGAGATGGAGAAGGAGGCAGATTACTGCATTGCAGGGGGCTACATGGCTCTGGCAGATGCTGTGAGAGAGGCTTTGGGCACAAAGATAAAACTGCCTTCCAGCGATTTAAACTAAGACCATCCAGTTAAAAGCAGTGTGGACCTTTGGCACCTTTGTGAATGCTCCTTTCCAGCTCTTGGTCCCTCTCCATAACATTGCTCATCTCAGACTAAAAATCATGGTGTAGACTGTTTTATGAAAGACTACTGGTTCCATTCAGTATGGACTGATGTCAAGAAGAAAAAGATTCTCATCACTGGACCAATTGGTAGCATCAGGATGGATGGCGAAGAGATTGAGATTGTTCACAGCTTCAGTTTGCTTGGCTCCACACTCAACACTCTTGGCACCAGCAGCCAGGAAATAAAAAAATGTATTGCGATGAGAAAGTCTGTTGTTAGGGACCTCTCTAAAGTACTCAAGAGCAACGGTGTCTCTCTGGAGACTAAGGTGCGCCTGATACAGGCCATGGTCTTTGCAATCACTTGTTATGCATCAGAGAGTTGGACAATGACTAGGGAGGACAGAAGGAGAATTGATGCCTTTGAGCTGTGGTGCTGGAGAAGAATATTGAATGTACCCTGGACTACCAAGAAAACAAACAGATTCAACCTGGAGAGGGTTAAACCAGGCTGCTCCTTGGAGTCAAGGATTCTGGGGCTTTGTCTGACATACTTTGGACATGTTGTAAGGAGGGACAGGTCCTTGGAGAGGGACATCATGCTTGGGAGGGTGGAGGGACGGCGCAAGAGGGGAAGACCCTCTATGAGATGGATTGATTCAGTGACTGGTAATTGGGATGGGTGTGTCAGAGGCAGTGCGATTGGCACAGGATAGAGCAGGGTTTAGGGCTGTTGTACATAGGGTCGCTATGAGTCGCAAATGACTCGATGGCACACAACAACAACAACAACAACAACAACAACTGGTTCCATTCTCCCATAAAAACTTCAGAGAAGGCGACATTCATTTTTGTTAGATCCAGTTCCTGTCATCTACTGTTCCTGCCATCATGGAGTGGGGAAGGCTTTAAGGGGCATTTGAACATATTCTTTCTTTTTAGAAATTATTTGCTTCCATTTAATAAAAATAGACATCAGGGTGGTTGTCCCATTTAAGTGCATAATGGCCAATTCAAATCCCTAATTTCTAAAAAATAAATTGAGATGAGCTATTGCTACTTCGTCATGTGTTAAGTGGGAGGTGACTCAGTCTAGAGGATTCATCAGGATGATGTTCTCTTTGAAAACCGAGTCCTAGGTTCTTTTATAGTTGAGGTGCCCAGTCGTCAGTACCTTTTGCACATGTCACAGCTCATCTCTTTGTGTTATGAGTATATGAAGGTTTCGAAGTACGTACTTCAGGGCTTGATTGGATCTAACACTTTCTTTTTCACCCTTACCTTTTCATCTTGGAGAAGTGTTTGGTGGTACCAGAGTTCGGCTCAGCCACTCCATCTGTTAGGAAATAGCAGGATACAATGTAGGCGCCTACAATATCACCACAAAATGTCAACTCTGCAGAGTGTCAGCTCTGGTACTGGCGTATCTGGCATCTGAAGAAGATGAAATCTCGCTTAAATCTCCTCGCTTATCAACAACACTTCTAGCACTTGTCAAATAACTCACCCAGGAGGTGATCCGGTGTCAATTTAAAGTCTGCTCTTGCAGAGATGATATTTGGGGAGTCTGTTATACCTGCAAATTATTAATCTTAAATAATATTTTCATGAACATTTTCTTGAGGAAAATAATCTTAATTTAAAGTTGAAAGAAAAGTGAATTCATTGCTTTGCACCATCTGCCGCAGATGTGATCTTTTTTCTCTCTCTGTAGCTGTGCATCTGTCCCTCCATATCCATTTTTGCTCAGTCCTTTCAAGAGAAAGTACACATATGATGTAAGTAAAGGACTGGTTAAAGCTTTGGAGGTTTTCACTCAGCTTGTTATTTCTTGGGGAATCTCTTCTTAGGCACTTGAAGACTCGAGCAGTCTGAAGAGGAACGGCAGGGACAGCGGCTACGGTGACCTCTGGTGTGCGGAGCGCGGGGAGCTGCTCACGTCCGCATCCCGTCACAGGAGAGAAGACTCCTTTGAGAGCTTGGACTCCTTCGGGTCCAGATCCTTCACGAGCTGCTCCTCCGACATCACCTTGAAAGGGGCTCGTGACAGTAAGTGGCCCTGCAGTTGCCAGCTTGGATTTGGTCCTTTACATCTTGAAATGCAATTTGGTACTTGCTCCTCTGATCATTAGGTGGTGTCAACAATGCAGGATTGCAAACCCCACGTTTCTCAGAGTTGATCAGATCAAGACCATACATTCAATGTTTTGAAGTATTTTTGTACTTCCTCTCTTATCAACATAAAAAATGAGTTGTGGTTAGATTGAATTAGTGGGACAACTTGCTGAACTTTATCCAGCAGGGCACTCCATACATTTGTGTTAGATTGTTACGTGTTTCAATTCGCTTCTTTAATTTTACTATTATTTTTCTCTTTCCATTTCCCCCCTCCCCTGGCATTTTTATCATGTAAAATTTACATTTCAGCAAACTTGAAATAATTTTATAGTGAACATCACCTTACTCACCATGCAGATTCCACCATAGTATTTTATGACATTTGTTTTATCATATATCTGTGTTTTTCTGCTTCTGTGTTCCTTATATGCCTGTTTTTTTAGTCGTTTCAGAATAAATTACAGATGTTTTATAGCTTAGATAATTTAGTACTTTTAGACTAAATTACAGATATTTTTAATTTTGTAAATTATATTCATTACTTCAGCAAATGTATAATTATATGAAAATTTGAGTTGCTTGGATAGGAAATTCACACTCAATGCAATACCCAGTGGATTGAACCAATTTATTTAACAGTGTAAAGAAACAAGTTCATTAGTTTATAGAGTAGTAGTGGCATTTGGAGGTCTGGGGCTCAGTGGCAGGGAGTTGCATTACCAACTCAAAAGCAAGTGGTTCAACTCCACCACTGCTCCTTCGAAAAAAAGATGGGAAGTCTCTTCCTGTAATTTACAGCCTTTGGAAACCCACTGAAGGATCAGTTTTGAGTCAGGTCCAGCTGAATGGCACATAACAAAAGCAACAGTAGTTTAAAATAAAGTAGTATGAAGAGCTCTTTAAGAATTGACCCTTAAGATATTGCTGTGTTTGTTGGCTAGTTACTGTCTAGGTGTGTGACACTTTCATAGCCCAGGTGATTATTCCAATACTTTCAAGGAAATGATAGTGATTTTATAATTCATCTCACTGGTTACATTATAAAAGCAGAAGCTGAGGTTCCCCACCTACTGTATTACATTGTCCTGACCGAAGAACATGAAACACCCAGTTTTTAGCTAAAAAGGGCAAAGATCAAAGGTACATGAGATGTATGTTAGTATCAGTGAGTTCAAGTGCAGCAGAATGGAAGTCTCGATCTAAAGTTCTTGCTGAGCCTTGTGTCTAGTGGTAGTGCTGTTGTCAGATACTGTCAAGTTGATTTCAACTTGTGGAACCCCTAGGTGACAGAGGAGAACTACACCCCCTGTGATTTTAATGGGAGCAGATTTGTAGGTCTTTCTCCTGCAGACTTGTTGTTTTGAACCTCCAACCTTTCAGTTAGCAGGTAAGTACTGAACCACTGTGCCATCCTTAGATGCTTGATACATGTTACATAAAGCAGAGGAATTCTGTCACCTGCTTCCCAGTCTCTGAAAGGGAGTTGCAGGCTGTATTGAGAATGTGAAGTTGGTAATTCCAACTGACAAAGGAAAAAGCACTTGCCTGGAAGCCACAGGGGTGACGTGAACTAATTTCTGTCTTTCTCAGTCATTGCCCTTGAATCAGGATTGACTCAGAGCTGACCCTTCATTGGGTTTCAGAGGTTGTAAACTAACTGCATGTGAGATCTACCATCTTTTCCCACATAACTGCTGGTGGATTCAAACAACCGTAGGGGTTGTCCTTTCAGTTACCAGCACAGACACCTACAGACTAAATCATCAGAGCTCCCCAGCCTGATTTGTGTAGCAAAGTGCTGTTGTTACCCGTTACACTGTGGTCCAAATTGATTATCAGAACATCTTAGGATAGTATTTTTTAGCATAACAAGACTGCAAACTCAGATCCCTTACTTTCATGCACACACCAGTCCAATCCTACTGACATCGACTCATAGTGACCCTGTAGGACAGGACAGAAATGGAAACTAGGGTTTCCAAAGCTGTAAATCTGCATGGAAGTCAACTGCCACATCTTCTTCCTGCATTTTATGTGAAAGTCATTGTCTGGAGAGTGATGATATTTCCTTACTCTGTGGGATCATTCTACGGATTCCCTCCACCAAAGGTTTTAACTTGAGCAAATATAAAAATAACAATGGCCTGTTTGAGTTTTGAAAACTCTGCGTGTGAACATTTTGGCAAGAATTCTGTGTGTGTTTATGGGAAATAAGAGAAATTCCTCATTTAGGAGGTGGTAAAGGCAAAGCCAGCAGCAATTCCTGATTGCTAATCCTCCTGGGCAGAGCTCCTTACGGTTTCTCCCTTCTCACTGTGACTCTCCTCCTGCCCTGGCCCCGTCGCCAAGCTGTATGCTCAGCCACTTCCTGTGGACTCTTCTCTGTTTTATTTGTTCTAGACCGATGCCAGGCAGGAGGGAGGAGTCCACGCTCCCTGTAGGGCAGGTTAGCCTTGCAGGTGTTTTGCTTGCTGAGAGCATGGTGCTGCTAGGTGTGACACACAGCCCACCTGTGAGAGAGTCTTGGTAGGAAACACCATCGTTTGCAAAAGATGCTGGAAAGAAAGAAGGAAGGGAAGAGAGACAGAAATCAGCTTGGCTTTGAGGGGTGTTTTACATTCTCTTATTTTGCCTATGCCTCTAGCCCAGTGGTGGAGGCTGTAAGGGTAAGTACTGGGCTGTTAATCCAAAGGTCAGTGATTAGAATCCCCTAGCTCCTCCTCTGGAGAAAGATGAACATTTTCTCTGGTAAATCTTTATAGCTTCAGAATTCCGCAGACGGGTTGCTGTGGGTCTGAACCAATGAGGCAGCACTGGGGTTGGTTTTTATAAGAGACTATTTTAAAAAAAAAAAAATTTATTAATTTTTTTTGTGAGGACTCTCCTGCATAGGGTCGCTATGAGTCGCCTGCGACTCGACGGCACTTAACAACAACAAGAACAACAACAACAACAGCAACTGTCAAATTGGATCTGACTGGTACAGGAGGAGATTACCCCTCCTTCTCCTGCAGGCAGTCTGGTGGTTTGAACCATGTACCTCTAGGATTGCAGTCCAGTTTCTTGCCACTTGGCCACCAGAGCTCCCTAAGAGGAGATTTTTTTAAGAAAGTAGATCATTATTTTGTATCACTATTGAGATCTATCAAACAATGCTCTTCTGAATTTGTGTGTTAGTGATTTCAGTACAGTATTCCCAGTATCACTTGCATGGCCTCATGTCAGTCTGCTGCTCTCACTTGGACACAAGCCTGGAGAGTGCTTTGAGAAATTAGAAGTTGGCTGGCCCAATGTCCTATCTTTAATTATTGTTCATAGGGTCTTTCAGAGTTCTCTCATGATGAGATGGTCACCTTATTTTCTTTCAATTACTGAGTTTCCCTTGGTATTGCTTTTGCATCCCATCCTAAGTGTGATTTTACCACCAGATTTTGCCTGCATTCATTACACCAACACATTTTATGAAAAATTCGTGTTGTACAGAAGAGAAGAAGAGGAGAGGTTGGCAGTAAAGTGGGACATTTTCTACGTAAGAGTGAACAACAGCGAAAGAACACCCTGTGTGCTGCTAGTATGCGAAGCGAATTCCTCCGAATGGATCTTATCGCAACTTCATGACAAATTTCTAAAAATATTCCCTGCAGTTAGCAGTCACAGCCCTGGGTTTCCAAGGCAAAGACAGCGCAGGCAGGCTGGCTGTGTGGGTTTCAGTTGATGAAGAATCTGGTGAGAGAAGCACATTCTTGTGCCTTTTCACTTATTTATTTATTTCCTTTAGGCTGCGAAAGTGACACAGATTCTGAATTCACGTTCAAGATGCAGGATTATAACAAAGATGACATGTCATATCGGAGGATTTCGGCGATTGAACCCAAGTCTGCTTTACCATTCAATCGCTTTCTCCCCAACAAGAGCAAGCAGCCCTCCTACATGCCGGCGCCCTTGAGGAAGAAAAGACCAGACAAAAATGAGGATAACAGGAGGAGCTGGGCCAGCCCGGTCTACACGGAAACAGATGGCTCGTTTTCAAGGTAGGGGCGTGCGAGGCGATGGCTGTGTCTTCACATTGCAGGGGCTTTGGAAACTGAGTGGGCTGTTTTCAGCAAGATGAAAAGCGGTGGGGGTTTCAAGTAGATTTCATTAACGAACCCTTTCTTTTGCTTCTTACCCATCTTTTCAGTCATCAGGCACACACCTTGGCGATCCTTCTCCCATTGTAAAACACCTGCATGTGATGATTGGCCAGTTCTTTTTTTAGATGCATGCCTCTGGCTTCTTCTTGGTAGATCTTTGCAGTGCACAGGATGACCTAAGCTAGCCCCCAGGAGCTCTGCTGTATTCCCTCCTTCAATTTATTTCTGTCTTGATTGATCTCAGTGGACGTGAAAAGACACCTCTAATTTCCCATCACCCTGGCAGAGCAGCGTGTGCCCTGTCAAACTCAACGTCCTATCAGATGGAGGCGTGTGGTTCCGACAGTGACTCGGACTCTGAGGCTGAGCGAACGTGGCCTGATGTGATTTGGGATGACTTAGCCAACCATAGATTTCAGGTGATAAAGCGTCCCGAGAGTTTCATCTCCAAAGCATTTCCTCCGAACGAGCTGACGAGGTCAGGAATGTTTGTCCTCGGTCCACTGTGCCTTTGGTTTTAATACAGAAAGTAACCCTTAAAATTCTTGGCCGTTTGTCCGTTTCTTTTAACACAACTTCTAACTGAATTGTCTTCAGCCTTTGTCATGCATCTGGCAGCCCGGCTGCTAAAATGAGATGCTGGTCCAGTGTCTTAACTCTTGTAGGAGCTGTGGTGATGAGAATGGGAACTAATTTGCTTCCTTCACAGTGGCACGAATGTGAGCCCAAGAAAGCATGTGTTTGGTGTTCTCTGTGATGAAGTTGCTCACACTCTCTCTTAACTTATTGGATGTTTTGAACAGTAGCCAGAGGAGGACTTGGGGACCCCACGTGGAGAAGTGGTCCACAGTTCAAGAAACCTGTTATGTAGAAGAGGTAGAAGGAAAGACAAGAAGCATACCCAACATTGTAAAGGATGATCTTTATGTGCGCAAGCTCAGTCCCATCATGCCAAACCCAGGGAACACTTTCGACCGGTTTCTCCCCAAATATTCCAGCCCCGAAGATTTGAACTGGAAAAGAATTAAAAGGGAAACTTATAAACCATGGTATAAGGAATTTCAGGGATTCAGGTTGGTCTTGGGGCATGTTTCTGTTGTTCCGATGTCTGTTCAATACCCCATCTGGATGCACAGAGAGAGAGTGAGAGAGCGAGAAAGGTTAATTAATGTTCCCTGTAACATCTTACCATTACAAAGGATTGCTATTTAAATGTAAACTTCAGGATCTAGCTCTTAAAACGTGTGCTCTTCCATGTGTAGTCATAGCGTGGTGTCGTTTTCTTTGTTTTTCTTGGTGTCGTTTTCTGTGTTTTTCTTTTTCTCTAGTCCTTTGCCCCTCTCACTCCTCTTCCTTCCTCTGTACCACTCCACAGTAGAAGGAATTCAGACTCCGAGGATGAGGACTTGGGCTCTGATGGAGGTGCACCTATTTTTAGTAAAATACAAAAGGCAAAGCAGAGACCAAAGGGCAACTGCCAAAGAAGTTCACGGGTGCTGGAACTAGCTGCCCAAAGGGCCCTTAAGTCATGGAACACTCATGCAGCATGGAGCCCCGGTGGTACCTCGAACCAGCCCAGGTGGACTGTGCGCATTGCACGTGGGCTGTCTGCTTGCTCAGATGTCTGCCGTGGGCTGCTGCTGCCATTAACTCGCCCTCCTCTGGCCTTCCTGTGCTGGGCACTGACATCTTACAGTGTTAGTATGTTCAGCGTGAAAAGCATAATGAATGTTTTCTGCGTGAGAATGGAAGCTTGGAAGTTTGTAGGCGTAAACATTCTTATTTAGCTCAATGCTGTAGTACAAGACAGCATATATTTACATGTGACATAGTTGTCATCTCTCTGGAGCCTTGACCTAATGTTATAGAGGTGTTAATATGACTAGATAGAGGGGAGCTCTGGTGGCCTAGTGGTAAGGAGCTACAACTACAATCCCAGAGGTGCACGGTTCGAATCCACCAGATGCTCTGCCGGGGAAGGAAGGACAATCTCCTCCTGTACCAGTCAGATCTGATTTGACGGTACACGCACACAAAAATATTAAAATTTAAAAAAGGCATTAATATGACTAGATAGGAAGAAAGACAATAACTTTTGGTGAGAGACTAGAAAGGGCAACTAATGAATGAAAAGCATTGCAAAGAAAAGAAAAACTGCACCAGAGCATTTATTTTCTTGCCCCCGCTAAATACACTTGCCGATTTGCCGATTGCATAAAGCGCATGATGCCATAATCTTGGACCTTTTCAAGGTCTGGGCTGCTTTCCCAGGAGGGGAATCAGGTCTCTGTGGCTGAGAGAATGAGGGAGGTGCTAATGAGAATGTGATGTGTGTATGACAGCCTAATGGCCTCTCCACATTCCAGTCACATCCCACAGCCTTGCTAGTGGCCCCTTTCCCTGAGGGAGGACTCTGCTCTTGCAGTATTTAAGCGCTATCTAGAAAATCCATTAGTGGGAGCCTTCTACACTAGACTTCATTTTCAAGCCAGAGTCCTTCCCCTCACTCCATTAAAGAATTCACCCCGAGTGGCTACCTCAATGAACTTTCTCCTCACCCTTAATAAGATTCTCCCTTCCTTTTTCTTTTCTGTGCTTCAGTCAGTTTTTATTACTCCAGGCCCTTCAGACATACTCTGATGACATCTTATCTTCTGAAACAAATATCAGAATTGATCCTACTTCTGGCCCAAGACTCATAACTCGCAGGAAGAATCTCTCCTATGCACCGGGGTATAGAAAGGATGACCTCGACATATCAGCACTTGATCCCGATTTAGAGAATGATGATTTCTTTGTGAGGAGGACTGGGGCTTTCCACGCAAACCCATGTGTTCTCCAGGCTTTTGAAGATTTCCGAAGGTTCTCGGAGCAGGATGATCCTGTAGAGCGAGATATAATTTTGCAATGCAGAGAAGGTGAACCTGTCCTTCCAGATTTAGAAAAAGATGACATGATTGTTCGCAGAATCCCAGCCCAGAAGAAAGAGGTCCCTCTGTCAGGGGCCCCAGACAGATACCAGCCAGTACCTTTCCCTGAGCCTTGGACTCTGCCTCCAGAAATTCAAGCAAAATTTCTTTGTGTGCTTGAAAGGACGTGCCCGTCCAAAGAAAAAAAGAACAGCTGTAGAGTATTAGTTCCTGCTTATCGGCAGAAGAAGGATGACATGTTGACCCGGAAGATCCAGTCCTGGACCCTGGGAACCGCAGTGCCTCCAGTCAGCTTCATGCCTGGTCCTTGCAGTGAGACGGACTTACAGAAGTGGGAGTCCATCCGGGAAGCCAGTCGAGTTAGGCACAAGAAGCGACTGATGGTTGAGAGGTCAGAGTGTGTTTCCTGCAAGGCGTCTAGTCCTGTATAACTCATCTTGTGCGAAAAAGCAGCCTTTGTGTTGCTCGACTATGCATGCCACGTGCCCTTTTGAAGTATCCTGTAGACGTTGTTTATGCTTTGTAAAACCTTTAATCATTTCATGGAACAAAAAGTGCAATTCCATATTTGCACCTTTTTACATTCACTTATCTCACATCTAAGTGAGAAAATGCATAAAATTTTTTGTCTTTGGCGATAAGCAAAATTATGGTACTATTCTGCCAAGGTGGGGGTTTTCACAAACTTTTAAAGACTTCTTTTCATGTCAAGGCATTTCTGACAGTCAGGTTCTAGTTTAGTTTTACATGTTTCTCATAAAATATGGCATTGCAAATTTAATTTTAACCCTCAGTTTTTTACCTAGGTTTTGTTAATCATCACGTTTGTTTCATTTTTATTGTACTTGTTTTTATTTCTAAAATTCAGTGCAAATATTGATGTTAAAATGCATGATTTCTATATGTATGTGTTTATAGTCACTTTTATAATAACTGGGTCTGCATTTGTGTGTTTAAAAAAACCTTGTCTTTTAGAAGATGTTTAGTTTGTTGAAATTGATGATGGACAAATATGAGGAGGTTGAATAAAATTAGTAGACCCAAATCTAACTGACCACTGACTCCTGAAAACGGAAAGCTTTTTCTTATGAAAAACATAACAAATTCAAAGTTACTGAAGAAACCCTGCATCTTGCTAAAATCAGGATTTCTTGTAAAATGATACTGTAAGAACTTGGAACTTGAAGGCTGAAGAAACAACCTTTTGAGATTTGTCCGTCTCTACTTAAAGACCTTGAATATTTAGAAACTAATGTAAGTGGGGGAAAAAGACTCTAATTTTTGGTTTTCTGGTTCCTCAGACTGTTTCAAAAGATTTATGGTGAGAGTGGGTAAGTTACATAGTTCACAACTGAAAAAAAAACTCACTGCACATTGTTTGTCCTGTGTGTAAAGTGTATTGCACTTCTGTTCTGGCATGACACTAAATGGGCTGCTGTGTGCTCTGCATGAGATTCTGAAATTGAGAGCGACGTCTTTCCTTTGGCACTCTAATGGTAGTATTTATACATCTGAGGATTCAGTGCATGACGTACTAGAATATAGTAGGTAGTCCTTGTTTCCCTAGAAAGAGAAAATTCTATTCCCTGTAGTGTTTTTAAAAATGACTTTATTTTATTTATGGAGGATTTGATTAAAGTAGCATAAGCATGTGCCTAAGGTTAGGTATGTTTATTTTAGTATTTAAGTTGCTCTGTGGATTAAAAGTATCCTATAGTTTAGAAAATTTATGAGGGGTAGAAAAGAATATTTGGAGTTATTTTGAGATTAATATACATATGGTTGACATTCCCTATGTATGTTGGTGAATGGTATTAATCTTCCCCTAGTGACATTTAAAAAGTTTTCAAGACTCCTGATTAGGGAAAAAGCTGTATCATGGCTATGCTGTAGAACAAAATTGGCTTTCTGACTTTATTAATATGTATCTTCTATTACTAATTCTTGTCGTCTGGAGACATGATAATAATACATAATAATTTAAAAGGCTTTCTGGAAACTCCCCCCCCCCCCCTTGTTGTTGTTGATTGCCTTCGAGTTGAGCACGACTCATAGCGACCCTATGAACAAAAAGCCTGAAGCCTCTCAACAACTATCGACATTTATCAAAGTACAGAGTTTCCGGAGGCATGTTGTTTAGGAAGTAGATACCACTCCTGCTTAGTGGGAGTTAAAAGTGAACACTAAGCTCCACTAAGTCTATAAAATCATTCATTCCCAGTGTAAAATCACCAGATATCTGTTGGTAAAGTTTCACCAAACTTGATGGGACTTTTTGAGCTTAACTTGTTAATGTTTCTTGAACAAGAGGAAGAAAGTTTATGTCAGGTATCTTAATGCACTTAAGCCATGATACCTTAGTTTCTTCTTACCTATACTAGAATTTATTTCATCTTCAGATTCCTTAGATCTTATATAATTTTTTTTAAATAAAAACAAACCCTGAAAAAACCCTTAAGCTCTTTGTCATTGAGTCAGATTCAATTTAATAGCTGACCATAAAGTAGCTGTAAATTTCATGAGAGGAATTTGCTCATCTTTCTCCACCAGACTTTAGAGTTAGCAGTACTGCTGTTTCAATGCAGGGAAATCCATGTAGTCAAGTTGATGTCAACTCATAACGGCCCAAGAGGACACAGTAGAACTGCCCTGTAGAGGTTTCCGAGATTGTATGGTTTTTAGAAGCATGCTGCCTCATCTTTCACCTGTGGACGGCTGGTGGCCTCTAACTACTGACCTTTTACTTAGCAGGCAAGTACCTGAGCCACTCACAGTTCTTGGATGCTGTGAAAAGCATGGTTTAAAGCATTATAAGCATCCTAGATGTCAAAGGTTTAAGTGAGTCGTAGTTATCTAGTTGAAAGGTGCTATCCAGTCCCTGATTTTAAAAGTCAGCTCCCAGCACACCTTAAATGTGTTGTGTAAAGGCACGTGATCCCTGTTCCTCTCATTGTGTGCTCGAAGCAGTTTGCATCAGTCAGGGTGTATAACACAGCTTTTAGTGCGATGGTGAAACATCTGCTGTTCTTCAGGGTGAAAAAGCTGTTCTAACTTGATAAAAAAATCTGCTTGCAGCTTTATAGATTTTGAATGTTAAAACATTGAAAAGATTTTTATTTGTAAATGAAATATTATTTTTAAGATACAAACAGATATGAGTAATAGAAGCTTAAAGGAACTATTTCTTTGGATACAAGTTCGGTAATAGAAGCTTAAAGGAACTATTTCTTTGGATACAAGTTCTTAATGGAAATGTAAACATGCTCAACTATTTCAGTGACTACATAGTCCCCTTGGTGAAGGATACATTGTAAGACTGGGTTAGGAAAAGAAAATTCCAAACTCAAATGCCAACACTGACAAAGCTTAGGTGGGTTTTTGTTGGATTTGTTGGGGTTTTTTTTTTTTGCCCACAGACTACAATTAGCAGCAGTAAATACTTTCTGTGGACTCTATCAAAGATCTTGCTTGGATAGAAAAATGTTTATTTTTCAAGGCTTCCCTTACCCATGCAGTTAGTGCCAAAGTAACTGTACAAATAAAGCAAGATTGCCTGTAAATTGAGACTGATGAATAATGCAAACCTTGTCAAATAATGGAAAGCAATACAACTGCATCTTCAGGAAGCTCAGTCATGTCTTCGACCATTTGAAATAAAAATTGGTCATACAAGCAACCCCCTGCCATATTGTATCAGTTACCAGTGCTTTCCTTAAATTGATCTTTCTACCATGACAAGAAAGTATCAGTTTAAATTGAATTAAGTGTAGGCTTTTAATCTAGAATTTATTTCATGTTTACGTTGGGAGGGATTTCTCTGGTTGTAAGGTATGTTTCTCTGATTGTAGTTATGTTATCAAGCTTGGAATGCTTCATTTGAAAGGCATTATTGCTGAGCCTCCTGTAATTGGAAAATAACTGCCTACGCATGACTTCTTTCCTTTGGATATGTATCATGTTAAGAGAAATGTATAATGTTGTGGGAAGTCTTGGGTTGTTAATTTCTGGCTTGTTTTTGTATTTGGCACCTAACACTTGGCCAGTTGGCCTGTTGGCTTTTCGTAAGATGCTTTCTCTGTGGCTGCCGTATCACATGTGCATGCTTCTGTGTTGCATGGATTCATGTCTGTTATTGTTTCGTGGAATTGGAAAACTTGTTGTTTTGATGCCTTTTGGCAGAAATGGTTAGCAACCGAAGCAATTTTCTTAGATGAATATATCACACTTGTCTTTTAAAATAAGTCAGCCCTTTAATCTCTTGCCAGCGTAAGCAGGAAGTGAACACTGCTTCCAGGTGAGGTTATAACCAAACATAGCGAGAACTTCGCATTCACTAATGTGAGATTGGTTACAAGATTTTATAAAATTGCAAACATATTTAAGACAGCAAAAAAAGAAGGGAAAACAAAGTTATAGTGGGTTATTTCCTGATTAAATCAGCAAGATAATTAGGTTTCTTTTATCCCTTTATTCTAATCCAAATTTTTAGAGTGGTGGGAATGGAGAGACAGCTCAAATAGAGGAAGAAATGAGAATTTTGCCTTTTGAGGCCCATTTGGCCATGGTTAGGGACTTATCTTTTTGTTACAACTGTGTGTGTGAGAGACAGACAGACAGACAGACAGACAGACATAGAGTCAGAGCAGTTAGCTGCTAGCCTCTGGTATTCACTAGATCCACTGGTGGCCAGTGGTGGCGATAAAGATCCTACGGTACATAGAACAGAACTGCACAGTGAAGAACTTTGACATTTTGCAGGCTGAAATGTGAACAGTGCCTCCTTTTGAGAATCCCTGACTTAGCTTGTAAATGAAAAATGAAAGATTTGCTATGTATTTGATTTTTCCCTAAACCACCAACCCCAACATGCAGTCACTCCCGTTGGGTTGACCCTGAAGGGCAGAGTTGACCTGACCACACGGATTTGAAGGCTGTGCACGTTTAGGGAAGCAGGTTGCTCCTCTTCTCCTGGAAAGTAGTTTCTCTGAGGTTGGCAGTGTCAAACGACCACCCTTTTTGATTTGCAGCTGAAGAGCTTAACCATGGAGGCACCAAAACGTCTTACCCAGGTCCTGGCCTTCCTCCCTCTCCACGGGATTTCCTTAATATCCAACAGAAATATATTTAACTTGAACAGTCAAAAAAAACAAAACAACCCCAACCCATACAGCTGCCGTCTAGTCATTTCTTAGTCCTGGTGACCCTGCACTGGACTTTCCGAGCCGTAATCTTAATGGGAAGAGACGACACATCTTTTTCTCATGGATGGCTGGTGGCTTTGAACTACTAACTCTTTAATTAGCAGCCCAGCACTTACCTCCTAGGCAAAGAGGGATCTGAGAAATGTATGTATCGGTCTCTGGAAGTTCGAGACAAGAACTTGGTATTAAAGAATTTCTCTGCTGGTAGCGTGTGTTACGTGTTATACTGCTCACCAAAGGGTCAGCAGTTTGAATCCACCAACTGCTCCATGACAGAAAGATATTCAGGCTTCTCCAGTGAAGATTTGAAGCCCGAGAAACTCAGACTTAAGCTGAGGGCAGTGTTGGGTTTTTTTTAGGGGGAAGTCAGGCTAACAGGGATTGTATATTTAGGACTATTACTACATATTGGTCTTTTTTAAATTCTGTACAGTTTAGCCATTCATCTGTCCATTTGACTATAAAGAACATGAACTATAACATTAGCCAAAGAGTGCCGTGAAGTTGTTGTTATTGTTATCTGCCATCGAGTTGACTGCGACTCAGAGTGACCCTGTGAATAACAACAGATCAGGACCTTCCCCGCCCCGTGCCATCCTCACAGTCTCTAATATGCCCGGACCTGTTGTGACAGTCACTGTGCCTGCCCATCTTGGGGAGCGTCTTCCTCTCGTCCTCTGACCTTCCGCCTCTCCCAGCATGACATCTCTGCCAAGGACTGGCCCCACCTGACAACATAGCCGAAGTGTGCAAGTGTGTGAGATGCAGTTTCACTGTACTTCCCTCTAAGGAGTACTCAGTATTTCCTCCAAGACAGACTTGTGTGTTCATTTGATGGCCATGGGATAGTCAGTACTCTTCTCCAACACCACAGTCCAAAGGCAGCGATTCTTCCTCTGTCTTCCTTATTCACTGCCTAACTTTCAGATACATAGGAAGCAATTGTAAAGACCATGGCTTGGATCAGTTGCACTTTAGTCTTTAAACTGACGTTGTTGAGAGTAATGAATGGTAAAAGTAATGGGAAGAGGGAGTAGATTTCTAGTGATCTTGCTTTATGATCTCCAACTTGTCCCTTAATCTTTCCTTCCTGCCTCCACTCCAAGTGCTATTAAATTTTTTTTTCCAAC